GATCGAGTGAGACCGCAAGATTCTCTCTACTTTTTGAGAAATGAGCGTTTCCGTTCTCCTTGGCCCTAGTTGCACTATAAGTGCGAAATGCCGGCCAGACTGGCCGATGCACAATTTTCTCTACACATGTGCGTTAGTTACCTTTCAAACCCTTACGTTCACTAGATGAATATATTTCCTACTTTCTTTTTGAGTGAGACCACTAGATTCCGTGTACTATGGGAGATCTGAGCGCTTCCGTTCTCCCTGGCATTTGCATTTTAAGTTCCGATACTGACCGACCTGGCCAATGCACCATTTTCTCTATACATGTGCGTTGAATACATTTCAAACCTTTTTAGCTGACTAGATTTATATATTTCCCACCTTCTGATCGAGTGAGACCGTTAGATTCCCTCTACTTTTTGAGAAACGAGCGTTTCCGTTCTCCCAGGCCCCACCTGCACTATGAGTGCGAAATGCCGGCCAGAGTGGCTGATGCACCATTTTCTCTACACATTTGCGTTAGTTACCTTTCAAACCCTTACGTTTACTAGATGAATTTATTTCCTACCTTCTATTTGAGTGAGACCACTAGATTCCGTGTATTATGCGAGATCTCAACGGTTCCGTTCTTCCAGGCATTTGCACTCTAAGTTCCCATACTGCCCGACCTGGCCAATGCACCACTTTCCATATACATATGCATTAGATTCCTTCCAAACCTTATTAGCTCACTAGATTTATATATTTTTCACCTTCTGATTGAGTGAGACCGCTAGATTTCCTTTACTTTTTGTGAAATTGGCGTTTCCGTTCTCCCTGGCCCCACCTGCACTATAAGTGCGAAATGCCGGCCAGACTCGCCGATGCACCATTTTCTCTACACATGTGCGTTAGTTACCTTTCAAACCCCTACGTTCACTAGATGAATTTATTTCCTACCTTATATTTGAGTGAGACCACTAGATTCCGTGTACTATGCGAGATCTGAGCGCTTCCGTTCTCCCAGGCATTTGCACTCTAAGTTCCCATACTGACCGACCTGGCCAATGCACCACTTTCTATATACATATGCATCATATTCCTTCCGAACCTTATTAGCTTTCTAGATTTATATATTTCCCACCTTCTGATCAAGTGAGACCGCTAGATTCCCTCTACTTTTTGAGAAATGAGCGTTTCCTTTCTCCTTGGCCCTAGTTGCACTATAAGTGCGAAATGCCGGCCAGACTGGCCGATGCACAATTTTCTCTACACATGTGCGTTAGTTACCTTTCAAACCCTTACGTTCACTAGATGAATTTATTTCCTACCTTCTATTTGAGTGAGACCACTTGATTCCGTGTACTATGCGAGATCTGAGCGCTTCCGTTCTCCCTGGGATTTGCATTTTAAGTTCTGATACCGACCGACCTGGCCAATACACCATTTTCTCTATACATGTGCGTTGAATACATTTCAAACCTTTTTAGCTAACTAGATGTATATATTTCCCACCTTCTGATCGAGTGAGACCGTTAGATTCCCTCTACTTTTTGAGAAACGAGCGTTTCCGTTCTCCCTGGCCCCACCTGCACTATGAGTGCGAAATGCCGACCAGACTGGCCGATGCACCATTTTCTCTACACATGTGCGTTAGTTACCTTTCAAACCCTTACGTTCACTAGATGAATATATTTCCTACCTTCTATTTGAGTGAGACCACTAGATTCCGTGTATTATGCGAGATCTCAGCGGTTCCGTTCTTCCAGGCATTTGCACTCTAAGTTCCCATACTGACCGACCTGGCCAATGCACCACTTTCCATATACATATGCATTAGATTCCTTCCGAACCTTATTAGCTCACTAGATTTACATATTTCCCACCTTCTGATCGAGTGAGACCGCTAGATTCCCTTTAATTTTTGAGAAATGAGCGTTTCCGTTCTCCTTGGCCCTACTTGCACTATAAGTGCGAAATGCCGGCCAGACTGGCCGATGCACCATTTTCTCTACACATGTGCGTTAGTTACCTTTCAAACCCTTACATTCACTAGATGAATTTATTTCCTACCTTCTATTTGAGTGAGACCACTAGCTTCTGTGTACTATGCGAGATCTGAGCGCTTCCGTTCTCCCTTGCATTTGCACTCCAAGTTCCCATACTGACCGACCTGGCCAATGCACCGTTTTCCATATACATATGCATTAGATTCCTTTCGAACCTTATTAGCTCACTAGATTTATATATTTCCCACCTTCTGATCGAGTGAGACCACTAGATTCCCTTTACTTTTTGAGAAATGAGCGTTTCCGTTCTCCTTGGCCCTACTTGCACTATAAGTGCGAAATGCCGGCCAGACAGGCCGATGCACCATTTTCCTACACATGTGCGTTAGTTACCTTATAAACCCTTACATTCACTAGATGAATTTATTTCCTACCTTCTATTTGAGTGAGACCACTAGATTCCGTGTACTATGCGAGATCTGAGCACTTCCGTTCTCCCTGGCATTTGCACTCTAAGTTCCCATACTGACCGACCTGGCCAATGCACCATTTTCCATATAAATATGCATTAGATTCCTTTCGAACCTTATTAGCTCACTAGATTTACAAATTTCCCACCTTGTGATCGAGTTAGACCGCTAGATTCCCTTTAATTTTTGAGAAATGAGCGTTTCCGTTCTCCTTGGCTCTACTTGCACTATAAGTGCGAAATGCCGGCCAGACTGGCCGATGCACCATTTTCTCTACACATGTGCGTTAGTTACCTTTCAAATCCTTACGTTCTCTAGATGAATTTATTTCCTACTTTATATTTGAGTGAGACCACTAGATTCCGTGTACTATGCAAGATTTGAGCGCTTCCGTTCTCCCTGGCATTTGCACTCTAAGTTCCCATACTGACCGACCTGGCCAATGCACCATTTTCCATATACATATGCATTAGATTCCTTTCGAAACTTATTAGCTCACTAGATTTATATATTTCCCACCTTCTGATCGAGTGAGACCGCTAGATTCCCTGTACTTTTTTAGAAATGAGTGTTTCCGTTCTCCTTGGCCCTACTTGCACCATAAGTGCAAAATGCCGGCCAGACTGGCCGATGCACCATTTTCTCTACACATGTGCGTTAGTTACCTTTCAAACCCTTACGTTCACTAGATGAATATATTTCCTACCTTTTATTTAAGTGAGACCACTAGATTCCGTGTATTATGCGAGATCTGAGCGGATCCGTTCTCCCAGGCATTTGCACTCTAAGTTCCCATACTGACCGACCTGGCCAATGCACCACTTTCCATATACATATGCATTAGATTCCTTACGAACCTTATTAGCTCACTAGATTTACATATTTCCCACCTTTTGATCGAGTGAGACCGCTAGATTCCCTTTACTTTTTGAGAAATGAGCGTTTCCGTTTTCCTTGGCCCTACTTGCACTATAAGTGCGAAATGCCGGCCAGACTGGCCGATGCACCATTTTCTCTACACATGTGCGTTAGTTACCTTTCAAACCCTTACGTTCACTAGATGAATTTATTTCTTACCTTATATTTGAGTGAGACCACTAGATTCCGTGTACTATGCGAGATCTGAGCGCTTCCGTTCTCCCAGGCATTTGCACTCTAAGTCCCCATACTGACCGACCTGGCCAATGCACCACCTTCCATATACATATGCCTTAGATTCCTTCTGAACCTTATTAGCTCACTAGATTTATATATTTCCCACCTTCAGATCGAGTGAGACCGCTAGATTCCCTTTACTTTTTGAGAAATGAGCGTTTCCGTTCTCCTTGGCCCTACTTGCACTAAAAGTGCGAAATGCCGGCCAGACTGGCCGATGCACCATTTTCTCTACACATGTGCGTTAGTTACCTTTCAAACCCTTACGTTCACTAGATGAGTTTATTTCCTACCTTCTATTTGAGTGAGACCACTAGATTCCGTGTATTATGCGAGATCTCAGCGGTTCCGTTCTTCCAGGCATTTGCACTCTAAGTTCCCATACTGACCGACCTTGCCAATGCACCACTTTCCATATACATATGCATTAGATTCCTTCCAAACCTTATTAGCTCACTAGATTTATATATTTTTCACCTTCTGATTGAGTGAGACCGCTAGATTTCCTTTACTTTTTGATAAATGGGCGTTTCCGTTCTCCCTGGCCCCACCTGCACTATAAGTGCGAAATGCCGGCCAGACTCGCCGATGCACCATTTTCTCTAAACATGTGCGTTAGTTACCTTTCAAACCCTTACGTTCACTAGATGAATTTATTTCCTACCTTATATTTGAGTGAGACCACTGTCAAACATTAGATATGTTATGCTTGTGTAGGCTACAGTGGGTTAGCCTATAAGGGGTACACAATTCTAGGGTTTCCTATTTGTACTCATTTCACTGCTAGTTCTTCATTCCTGTTCGCTTATTCTCACATGGTATCAGAGCGGGTCCTTCTAAGGACCGTTTTTTGGGCCCACCGAAGCGCGCCCTGAGGCGCGATTTTTTTTTAGCGACCCCTCGGGTCGCCTTTTCCCCTGCGGCTCAGCCGCCTCCACTGACGCGGCCCTGCCGCCCTCCCTTACGCGGCCCCGTTGCCGGCTCTCACGCAGCCCCGCCGCCGACTCCGTCGCGTCCCCGCCCCGGCCTTTACGCGGCCCCGCCCCGGCCTTCACGCGGCCCCGCCGACGGCTCTGTCGCGGCCCCGCCCAGGCTCTTACGCGGCCCCGCCGCCTACTCTCGCGCGGCCCCGCCCCGGCTTTCACGCGGCCCCGCCGACGGCTCTCTCGCGGCCCCGTCCCGGCTCTTACCCGGCCCCTGCCCCGGCTCTTACGCGGCCGTGCCGCCGGCTCTCTTGCCGCCCCGCCCCGGCTCTCACGTGGCCCCGACGTCGGCCCTCTCCAGGCCCCGCCGCCGGCTCTCTTAGGGCCCCGTCGCCGGCCCTGACGCGGCCCCTGCCCCGGCTCTGAAGCGGCCCCGCCCCGGCTCTCACGCGGCCCCGCCGCCGGCCCTCACGCGGCCCCTACCCGGCTCTCTTGCGGCCCCGCCGCCGGCTCTGAAGCGGCCCCGCCCCGGCTCTCACGCGGCCCAGCCGCCGGCCCTCACGCGTCCCCGCCCCGGCTCTCTCACGCGGACCCGCCGCCACACCTGTAGCAGTCGGGCAGCAGTGCAGCCGAACCGCCCGGGAGCCGAGCCGCCCAACGCCGAGCCGCCCGGGACCCGAGCCGCCCTGCACCCGAGCCGCCCTGCCGCCGAGCCGCCCGGGAGCCGAGCCGCCCTGCACCCAAGCCGCCCTGCCGCCGAGCCGCCCGGGAGCCGAGCCGCTCTGCGCCCGAGCCGCCCAGCCGCCGAGCCGCCCGGGAGCCGAGCCGCTGTGCACCCGAGCCGCCCGGTCGCCGAGCCGCCTTTCTGCAGAGCTGCACGACCTGCCCTGCCTGGTGAGCACAGTCCCACTGTCACTGCGAGCTCTTTCCCTACTGCTTGCACTGCGTCGCTGTCGTCGCCATGGCTACCCCTAGTGTCCTAGCGTTTGACGCTGAGGGTCGCGCCATTGATTTTGAGGTCTAGTTAGACGACCTGCAGCTGTTCTTACAGTGCGACAGGGCTGACGGCCTTTCTCTCTTTGACCTCACCTCTGGCGCCTCTCCTGCTCTTGCTGCTGATGCTGATCCCACTGTCCGCTCTCAGTGGGCCACCCGCGATGCTGCTGCACGTCTTGCTGTGCGTCGCCACCTCCCTACCTCTGAGCGTGCGCACTTTAGTCAGTACAAGAGTGCTCAGACCTTGTACGACGCTGTAGTTGCGCGCTACTCCTCCCCTGCTACTGCTGCACTGAGCCGTCTCATGCTTCCCTACCTCTTTCCTGACCTCTCTGCCTTTCCCACTGTCGCTGACCTCATTACGCACCTCCGCACTAGTGACACTCGCTACCGCGCCGCCCTTCCTGCTGAGTTCTGCGCTAAGAACCCACCCCCCATGTACATCGCTCTCTACTACGTAGTCGCGCGCCTCCCTGACTCCCTTCGCGTCGTCAGGGACCACTTTCTCGCAGTCTGTCCCACCACCCTCACCGTCGACCTCCTCGAGAAGGCCCTCCTTGCAGCGGAGAAGAGCATAGTCGCTGTAGGTGCTTCTCGTGGTGACCCTCGCACCCCCATCTTTGAGGGGTGCTCTCCTTCCCCCTTGCTGCCCTTTGTTGCCTCTGCTGCTGCTGCCGACCTGCTTGGTCTTGAGTCGGTCGGCGCGGCGTCTGCCCCTAGTGGGAGACGTCGCTCCAGCAAGGGCAAGGGGGGCAAGGGCGCGGGTGGAGCTGGAGGGGGCGGTGGCGGTGGCGGCGGTGGCGGCGGAGGGAGTGGGGGTGGCGGCGGGACTAGTGGCGGGGGTGGTGGTGGTGGTGGCAGCAGCGGCGGAGACGGTGGTGGTGGTGCCAGCGGTGGTGGTGGAGGCAGCGGCGGAGGTGGAGGCGGCGGAGGTGGAGGCGGTGGAGGCGGCAGCGGAGGAGGCGGTGGTGGTGGAGGAGGTGGAGCTGGTCGGGGTGGTACCCAGCAGCGTAGCGGCGGTGGTGGTGGCCAGCGCTCGCAGCGGCAGCAGCAGCAGCGCTCGCGGGACATCCCTCCGCCTCAGCAGCTTCGTGAGTGGTACGCTGGGCGTCAGAGGGGTGGGGGTACTGGTCCCTGCACCTACGTTCTTCGTTCCGGCGACCGCGCGGGTGAGCAGTGTGGGGGTGCCCACACCACCCAGCGCTGCTTTGGCCGCCTGACGGATGCTTGGCGTCAGCAGTTCCCTGGGGCTAGTGAGATCCCTCGCTGGGATGAGCTTCTTAGGGCTGGTGTAGCGATCTTTGATCTTGATTTTGATGCTATCCTTGCTGCTATGTATGCTGTGACTTATAGTGAGGAGAATGAGGGTTACCGGTGTTTCCAGCCCGACCCGGGCATTGGTACTGCTGCGCTAGGTGCTTGTGAGGCTGCTGCTCTAGGTGCCAGTGCGTCTGCGCTCTCAGGTACTGGTGAGACTGCGCTCTCAGGTACTGCGTCGTCCTCGTCCTCCCTCACTTTCACACTTGACTCCGGGGCTTCTCGCTCCTTCTTTCGAGACCGCACTACCCTTACGCCGCTCGGCCGGCCGGTTGCCGTCTCCCTTGCTGACCCCTCTGGGGGTCCTGTCCTGTCTCACTTCTCCACTGTCCTCCCGTGTCCGGCTGCCCCTTCGGGCACCCTGTCTGGTCTGTACCTTCCCTCGTTCTCTACGAACTTGGTGAGTGGCGCGGACCTGCAGGATGTGGGGGTTCACCAGTTCACTCCTGCGAGTCAGCGAGTGACCCACTGCACGGAGGCACGCACAGGCCGACACCTGGCCACGTTCTCGCGTCGGCCGGGGTCGAGTCTCTACACCCTGACCGTAGAGTCTCCTCCTGTCCCTGCGTCTGGTCAGGTGGCTGCGTCAGGTCAGGTGCTTGCTGCTGCGTCCCGGTCAGGTCCTGAGTCTGCCCCCTATTCTTGTCGCCTCCTGTCTCACGAGACTCTCCTGTGGCACCACCGTCTTGGCCACCCCTCCTTGCCCCGTCTTCGGAGCATGGCTTCCCGTGTCCTTGTCTCTGGTCTTCCCCAGTCTCTCCCTCCTCTCCCCTCCAGGCCAGGACCTTCCTGTGTCCCCTGTGTCGAGGGTCGCCTCCGGGCTACTCCTCACTCCTCCCACTTCCCCCCGACAGAGGCTCCCCTGCAGACGCTTCACATGGATGTGTGGGGCCCAGCCCCCGTCCGTGGGCAGGGTCACGAGCGCTACTTCCTGTTGGTGGTTGACGACTACTCGCGTTACACCATAGTCCTCCCCTTGCGCAGCAAGGGTGCGGTCACTGAGGTGCTGATCGACTGGATCCGTGAGGCTCGTCTCCAGCTCAGGAAGAGCTTCGGCTCGGACTTTCCTGTTCTGCGTCTGCACTCGGACAGAGGCGAAGAGTTCTCTTCTCGCCTTCTGCGAGACTACTGTCGTGCACGGGGGATCCGCCAGACCTTCACGCTTCCGGACTCACCACAGCAAAATGGGATTGCTGAGCGCCGCATTGGCATGGTCATGGATGTCGCTCGTACGTCCATGATGCATGCGGCTGCCCCCCATTTTCTGTGGCCGTTTGCGGTGAGGTACGCGGCGCATCAGCTCAACCTTCACCCCCGGGTCTCTCGGCCTGCGATGTCCCCAGCCCTGCTGTGGACGGGGAAGGTTGGCGATGCGTCTGTGTTCCGTGTTTGGGGATCTCGGGCGTTTGTCCGCGACTTGTCTGTGGACAAGCTGTCCCCTCGTGCTGCTCCCTGTGTCTTCCTTGGCTTCCCCACTGACGCCCCAGGGTGGCAGTTTTACCACCCCTCCTCTCGTCGTGTTCTGTCCTCCCAGGACGTCACGTTCGACGAGTCAGTCCCCTTCTACCGTCTCTTCCCCTACCGCACTCCTTCCCTCCCCCCTCCCCCGGACTTCCTTGTGCCGGTTCCCCCCCCGGTAGACCCCCTCCCCCCATCAGGTTCCTGCCCCCTCAGGTGTGTCCCAGGTAGACGCCGTTGACCCGGTCGAGGTTACTGGTGACTCTGGTGCTGCTGCGGGTGCTGAGCTTGGGGGTGCTGACTCTGGGGGTGCTGTGCGCGGGGGTGCTGAGCCTGGGGGTGCTACTGCTGGGGGTGCTGGGCCTGAGGGTGCTACTGCGGAGGGTGCGGAGCCTGGGGGTGCTGAGCCGGGGGGTGCTGTGCCTGGAGGTGCTGGGTCTGGGGGTGCTGGGTCGGGAGCTGCTGAGCCTGGGGGTGCTGAGCTGGGAGCTGCTGAGCCTGGGGGTGCTCTGTCTGGAGCTGCTGAGCCTGGGGTTTCTCCTGCTGCTGCGTCTCGCCGGGAGCCCATCTCTCCACAGGAGCTGCGCGAGTGGTTCGCTCGCCGCTGGAGGCGTGCTGCTGAGTCTGGAGGTGCTGCTGGAGCTGGAGCTGGAGCTTCTTCGACCGTCGAGGGTGCGGGTGCTGCCGGTCCCGGAGCTGCTGGACCTGCGGGTCCTCCTGGAGCTGGAGCTGCTGAGGGCGTTGGTGCTGAGCCTACTATTGTTGGTCCTGCCACTGGAGGTGTGGGTGGCGCTGGTGCTGTCGCTGAGGGTGCTGGTGCTGTCCCTGCTGAGTCTGGAGCTGCCGCGCGGCCTCGGCCGTACTTCGTTCCGCTCCTGCAGCAGGTTCTTGGTCTTTCTCCTCCAGTAGAGGGTCCACCGCCTGTCCAGTCGCAGTCCCTGCTGGAGCCTTCCTCTCCACTGCCTGCTCCCTCTCCTTACACTGGTCCTACTGGAGGTCTTGCTGAGCGTCGTGAGCCTGCGTCTCGTCCCGCGTCGCCTGTTCGTGCTGCTCGCGCTAGTGGTCGCAGTTCGCGTCAGCGTCCTCCTCCTGTCCCTGGCACGCACCGGATGTCTTTGCGTCCGTCCACTGCTCCTCTGCGTGCCCCTTTGCCTTCTCCTCCTGAGTCCTCTCTTCCTGCGCTTGCCGACCCTGAGTCGGACTCTCTTCGTGCTGCCAGTCCTACTGTCACGCGTCTGCTTGCTACTGTCGTCACTGACCCCTCTTTTGAGTCCACTGCTGCGTCTGCTCTAGTCGCTGAGCTCGTCGACTTTGCTGCTCGCTGTCGTCTCGACTACGCTGCTAGTCTTGTTGCTGAGTCTACGTCTGTTTGTCCTCCGTCCGTCGGGGGTGAGTGTGCTCTTGGCACGGACGTCCTAGAGGACAGGCAGGAGGAGTTACAGTGTCTAGCGGCTGCTTCACCTCATCTCGCGTCTGTACTGCTTGCCCCTGAGGGAGACCCGGATGCACTAGACATCCCGACTCCGCGTTCTTACGCGGAGGCCGTAGAGGGTCCCTACTCCTCTCAGTGGCAGGCAGCTATGGATGCAGAGATGGCTTCCTGGAAGTCCACAGGCACCTACGCTGACGCGGTTCCCCCTCCTGGGGCGAACATCGTCAGTGGCATGTGGATCTTCAGGGTGAAGCGGCCGCTGGGCTCTCCACCTGTCTTCAAGGCACGGTACGTTGCTCGTGGCTTCAGTCAGCGGCAGGGAGTTGACTACTTTCAGACCTTCTCTCCCACCCCGAAGATGACTACTCTTCGGGTGCTGCTGCACATAGCCGCTCAGCGCGACTACGAGCTTCACTCTCTCGACTTCAGCACTGCGTTCTTGCAGGGTAGCCTGCACGAGGAGATCTGGCTTCGCCGTCCACCTGGCTTCACTGGGACTTTCCCTCCTGGCACCCAGTGGAGCCTCCGACGGCCAGTCTACGGTCTCCGCCAGGCACCGCGTGAGTGGCACGACACACTGAGGACTACGCTTGCGGCTCTTGGGTTTGCTCCTTCTACTGCTGACCCGTCGCTGTTTCTTCGCACCGACACTTCCCTGCCGCCGTTCTACATCCTCGTGTACGTCGACGACTTGGTCTTTGCCACAGCGGACACTGCTGGACTCGCCTACGTGAAGTCCGAGCTGCTGAAGAGACACACGTGCACAGACCTGGGTGAACTGCGCAGCTACCTTGGCTTGCAGATCACTCGGGACAGAGCACGCCGCACCATTACCTTGACTCAGTCACACATGGTGCAGCAGGTCCTTCAGCACTTCGGCTTCACGTACTCCTCGCCTCAGGCCACTCCTCTGCCTACTCGCCACTCACTCTCAGCTCTGCCTTCGGATGAGTCTGTAGAGTCGAGTGGTCCGTATGCAGAGCTTGTTGGCTGCCTCATGTACCTGATGACCTGCACACGACCTGACCTTGCATACCCTCTGAGCATTCTTGCACGCTATGTTGCTCCTGGGAGACACAGACCAGAGCACATGGCTGCAGCGAAGAGGGTATTGCGCTACCTGTGCAGTACGTCGGGCATGGGGCTAGTGCTTGGAGGGCGGAGTCCAGTGGTCCTTACCGGCCACGCGGACGCTTCTTGGGCTGACGACCAGGCTACGCAGCGGTCGTCACAGGGTTACACCTTGAGCCTTGGTTCCGGCTCTGTCTCGTGGCGGTCTACTCGCTCGTCTTCGGTTCTCGGCTCCAGTTGTGAGGCTGAGATCTACGCCGGGGCCATGGCTGCACAGGAGCTTTGCTGGCTCACCTACCTGCTGACTGACCTTGGAGGCCATGCTGGCCTTGTGTCGAGAGCAGCGCTTGGAGCACAGAACGAAGCACATTGCTCTCCGCTACTTCCTTGCTCGTGAGCTGCAGCAGCGTGGTCAGTTGCGACTTGCGTACGTGGCCTCTGAGGCCAACACTGCTGATGTGTTCACCAAGGCACTCGCGCCTTGTGACCATCATCGCTTTTGCACCCTGCTGGGTCTTGTGCCAGTCTTGCCTCACTTGCTCTCCTCTTGACTTCACTTGTACTGTGACATATATATATACCTGCTCTTGCTTGTCTAGTTTTATATATATGTCTGTACTCTTGCATGTGAACTGGCCTCTGGCCCTGCTCTTGTGCTCGGACTGTGTGGTGACTTTGTGATCCACCCTGAGCTTGCTTTGCTTTGCTTGACTGGTCTTGTGACCCCTTGTTCTCCCCCACTTTGCCTACGGGGGTGTGTCAAACATTATATATGTTATGCTTGTGTAGGCTACAGTGGGTTAGCCTATAGGGGGTACACAATTCTAGGGTTTCCTACTTGTACTCATTTCGCTGCTAGTTCTTCATTCCTGTTCGCTTATTCTCACAACCACTAGATTCCGTGTACTATGCGAGATCTGAGCGCTTCCGTTCTCCCAGGCATTTGCACTCTAAGTTCCCATACTGACCGACCTGGCCAATGCACCACCTTCCATATACATATGCCTTAGATTCCTTCTGAACCTTATTAGCTCACTAGATTTATATATTTCCCACCTTCTGATCGAGTGAGACCGCTAGATTCCCTTTACTTTTTGAGAAATGAGCGTTTCCGTTCTACTTGGCCCTACTTGCACTATAAGTGCGAAATGCCGGCCAGACTGGCCGATGCACCATTTTCTCTACACATGTGCGTTAGTTACCTTTCAAACCCTTACGTTCACTAGATGAATTTATTTCCTACCTTCTATTTGAGTGAGACCACTAGATTCCGTGTACTATGCGAGATCTGAGCGCTTCCGTTCTCCCTGGCATTTGCACTCTAAGTTCCCATACTGACCGACCTGGCCAATGCACCATTTTCCATATACATATGCATTAGATTCCTTTCGAACCTTATTAGGTCACTAGATTTATATATTTCCCACCTTTTGATCGAGTGAGACCGCTAGATTCCCTTTACTTTTTGAGAAATGAGCGTTTCCGTTCTCCTTGGCCCTACTTGCACTATAAGTGCGAAATGCCGGCCAGACTGGCCGATGCACCATTTTCTCTACACATGTGCGTTAGTTACCTTTCAAACCCTTACGTCCACTAGATGAATTTATTTCCTACCTTCTATTTGAGTGAAACCACTAGATTCCGTGTATTATGCGAGATCTGAGCGGTTCCGTTCTCCCAGGCATTTGCACTCTAAGTTCCCATACTGACCGACCTGGCCAATGCACCACTTTCCATATACATATGCATTAGATTCCTTCCGAACCTTATTAGCTCACTAGATTTATATATTTCCCACCTTCTGATCGAGTGAGACCGCTAGATTCCCTTTACTTTTTGAGAAATGAGCGTTTCCGTTCTACTTGGCCCTACTTGCACTATAAGTGCGAAATGCCGGCCAGACTGGCCGATGCACCATTTTCTCTACACATGTGCGTTAGTTACCTTTCAAACCCTTACGTTCACTAGATGAATTTATTTCCTACCTTCTATTTGAGTGAGACCACTAGATTCCGTGTACTATGCGAGATCTGAGCGCTTCCGTTCTCCCTGGCATTTGCACTCTAAGTTCCCATACTGACCGACCTGGCCAATGCACCATTTTCCATATACATATGCATTAGATTCCTTTCGAACCTTATTAGGTCACTAGATTTATATATTTCCCACCTTTTGATCGAGTGAGACCGCTAGATTCCCTTTACTTTTTGAGAAATGAGCGTTTCCGTTCTCCTTGGCCCTACTTGCACTATAAGTGCGAAATGCCGGCCAGACTGGCCGATGCACCATTTTCTCTACACATGTGCGTTAGTTACCTTTCAAACCCTTACGTTCACTAGATGAATTTATTTCCTACCTTCTATTTGAGTGAAACCACTAGATTCCGTGTATTATGCGAGATCTGAGCGGTTCCGTTCTCCCAGGCATTTGCATTTTATGTTCCGATACTGACCGACCTGGCCAATGCACCATTTTCTCTATACATGTGCGTTGAATACATTTCAAACCTTTTTAGCTGACTAGATTTATATATTTCCCACCTTCTGATCGAGTGAGACCGTTAGATTCCCTCTACTTTTTGAGAAACGAGCGTTTCCGTTCTCCCTGGCCCCACCTGCACTATGAGTGCGAAATGCCGGCCAGACTGGCCGATGCACCATTTTCTCTACACATGTGCGTTAGTTACCTTTCAAACCCTTACGTTCACTAGATGAATATATTTCCTACCTTATATTTGA